GCCCGCTGCGGGGCCGCCGCGCCGCCGCGCCCGTTAATATGGGCCCGGGGCCGAACGGGGGGGCGGCGCAGGGGCGAGGAGGGCGGTGCGGGGCCGCCCCCGCTTCCCGGAGCCAATGGGCCGGGCGGGGCGGGTCGTCGGGAGCCGAGCCGAGCCGTGGGGATTGCCCACGGGGCTCCGCTCCCCGCGGGGACCAGGCGATGCTCCGGAGGGAGGGAGCCATGCCACAGACCCGGGGACTCTGTGCCCGGGGGGGGGACACACTGTGTCGCTGCCCCACAGCATCAGGGCTGGAGGAAGAGGGCTGTGCGGGGAGGGTGATCCCTGAGCCCCCCACCCGTGGCTTTCCTTGCCCCTGCCCCACCGCTGGAGACTGTGGTGCGAGTTTAGGACAAGCCCCGCTGCTGGGACACAGCCCCGGGAGGGAAACACGCTTCTCCGCAGGGTATTAATCCCCCGAGGAGAGGCAATGACTTGCAGAGGAGCAGGATGGCTCCGGCACAGCCCTTGCTGGCTCCCTCCCCCAGGCAGGGTCAGCAGCACCTGCCAGGACACGCTTCTCCCTCCTGCCGGGCAGGTTTCAGGCAGCACAGCCTCCCCTCGTGAGCTGCCCTCAGATTTTCTTCCCTCCTGCCTTCCCCTGGCTCCTTCCCCATGGCGGTGTGGGTCAAACAGCCCCTGTGAGACCCACGCTCCCTCGAGCTTTCCATTCCCTGGGGGACACGTGCCCACGGGGAAGGTGCCCAGGCCTTGCCAGGGGATGCTTGGGGAGCGATGAGCGGAGCCAGGGCAGTCCCCCCCTGCCTGGCAGTTAACAAGCTCAGCCCGGGCTTCCAGCTCGCCCCATCCCTCCGGCTCACGTGGGGATTTCCCCGCTGGAAGGGCTCAGGGCACGGGTCCAGCCACCTGCTGCGGGATCCGCGCTCAGCTCCAAGACAGCTGCCGGCGGCGTGTCGGCTGCAGGAGGAGGAACGGGCCCTGCTGGGAATGCCTCCTCGCTCCCGGCCCTGCCACTCGAAGAAGGGCCACTCGTGACTCAGCCGTCACCCACCGCCCCGCCAGCCCCTGCTGACCACATGTGTGCTGTTTAGCCACAAACCCGCATGAAATGCAGAAGTGGGGAGCAAAGCTTTCCGCTGGCACGGCTGCAGGGCCGGGGGCTGAGCTCACCCTCACTCTTTCCTGAGGGCAGGAACAGCTTGGCAAGCTTGGAAGGCTTGTCCTGCCAGCCACAGACAATCCTGAGGGGAGGAGACGCGTTTGCAAACTCTTCCCCTGCAGCCACGAGCTCTGGAGCTGGATCCATCCCATCCCTCCTTTCCGAAGGCCTCGGGGGATGCAAATCACAGAGGTTGGGGCTCTCGCAGGGGTCCAGAGCAGCAGCAGCCTGCGGTGCAGGGGGCAGCAGCCTGGGTGCTGCTGCAGGTGCCTCCCCCGGGGGCCCCCCCACGCTCAACAGCTTGGCAAGCTTGGGAGGCTTGTCCTGCCAGCCACAGACAATCCTGAGGGGAGGAGACGCGTTTGCAAACTCTTCCCCTGCAGCCACGAGCTCTGGAGCTGGATCCATCCCATCCCTCCTTTCCGAAGGCCTCGGGGGATGCAAATCACAGAGGCTGGGGCCACCCCATTTCTTGCAGGGGTCCAGAGCAGCAGCCTGTGGTGCAGGGGGCAGCAGCCTGGGTGCTGCTGCAGGTGCCTCCCCCGGGGGCCCCCCCACGCTCCTCCACCTGCCGCGGATGTGGTTACACTGGGGACACTTGCACGAGGAAGCCAACCGCGCGGTTTATCTTTCAAGAAGCAAAGCCTGCTCCTCTCTTCTTTCTGAAATGTTAATAATCTGATCTGTTCCGACCACCACGCGCGGAAAAAAAACTTGCATGTGCTAGAGGAAAAAAATCGAGATCAAGGGAGAAAGAGACCTGACCTGCCCGTGAGCCAGCGAGCGACGGACAGAGAGCAGGAGCCAGGAGGGGAAGCTCTGCAATGATTCACGGGCTGGAAATGGCAGCGGTTTCTCAGCCGTCCCACCCTGTGCTGGAACACTGGGCTCTGGCAGCAGCTGAGCCCCAGGGTGGTCAGAGCAGCCCTGCCACCAGGCCGTGGCACAGCTCCAGTCCCAGCACCACATGGACTAGCCTGAGGAGCTCGCAGGCACTCGTTAACTACCTCCAGACCCGCAACTCTGCTGCAAATTCTTGTTTTTGCCTTCTTTGGCCCCATGGCTACATGAAGCATCTCAAATATCCTGCTGCAGAGCAGAGCTCCTGCCACCAAGGAAGGCTGTGGTGGGGCCAAGGGAAGTTCTGGTCCTGAGGCGTGGGGGGAAGGTGTGCACCCTCCCTGCAAGACCAGAGAAGCTCAAGAAACCCACCACAGGTCTTGGAGCGGGGTGGAGGAGGATGGGGATGAGCTCAGGGCTGGGAGGTTCTCTCCAAAACGCAAGACCTCCCTCTGCTGTCGGCACACACCGCGCTGGCCACCGCTCCTGCTGCTGTGGCCACCAGGGTGGGCTTATGCCCCCCGCAGCCAGGCCATGGAAGGGAACCACACTGCACGGGGGTACTCAGACAGCTCCCAGAAGACCCATTTTTTTTTAAGCCCAGTGTCCGAGTACTAGGTAAAGACAATAAACGTGAGAAGAACTAGAAGAGATGCCAAGCCTGTAGTGACAACGCTTTCAATAAGTGCTAACTATTTTCTGGAGTTTTGGGGAAGAAGTGGGGAAGGAAAAGGAAGGTTTCATATTGGTTTCAACAGCCCTTGTTTGCATCACCTGGGAATAATGGAGTTTACCCATAAGAAATAAGTTTCTTTTGAAGAATGAAGCATGGACCAATGCAACGGTGACATGAGCTCTGCATTAGAAAAACAAAACCAAACCCCACCCTAAAACAGGCAAATGCCCCGTTGACATTTTTAGTGTATTTAAACCAAAGAAAAGCTTTAGGACTGTGACCACTTCCCTTATTTGCTTTTCCACAACTTAACATGGCCTTGGTGTAGCGTGTGAGGTTAATCCTTCTTACACTGGTCTTACCAGTGACCATCCAGTATAGCTGGCCAAAGGCCTCCAAGCAAATTTGCTGTGCCTTTGTCAATCAGGTGACATGAGGACCCAGAACATACCATTAATGCTTTGATATAGATGGGCTCCTTCATAAGATCTCATCCCCCCAGTGTAATGAGACCAGGGGATTTATTGCTGTAATTCCAGATGAAGCGATGCCTTTGTGTTAGGCAATTAATGCTGACAACAATTTATCAGACCTATTAAGGCCAGTCTTTGACTGGAGACAGATTAATTTAAAGAAATAGCTCAACTGCAAGCTTGTCTCCTCCCGTTCTGTCCCTCTCCCTCTGTGCTAATTGTCCTCCTAAGGCTGACTCCCTGTGCCAGACACCGGGAATTTCACAGGTCTGAGGTGGCCCAATTGCATTATCACCAACAATGGGCACTTGGGATTTGCTGAGGGGACAAGATCAGCTGCTGACGAGGTGAGAGCAGCCCTGGCAGAGCACTTCACTCTTCTGCAGTAACACGCCACCAGATCTAGAAGCTCAAACTATTGCTTGTTCTGTAATAAGGGCCTTTTTTTTTTTTTTTTTTACATCCCGAGTTTCTGCACACAAATGAGACGAATCAAGGCTACACACAGAACACAGGTGCTTCCCAACAAAATGTCTCTTAAAATCAAGCAGCAAGACAGACGTACAGCAGTAAGACATACCACAGTGTGTGTAGACATGTTTGTATTTGCTGATGAAGGCAGCAGTGTAGGGACACAAAGCTCTCCAGGAGCTGGAGTGAGTGGAAGTCTATGGCCAGGTTTATCTCCGAGAGGTTCCATGGATGCTCACCACAGGACAGAAGGCAGTGCTGTGAATTCTGCCCTTATCGAGCCGGCAGGTGCCAGGACATCACTTCTGATTCATATGCAAACACAATCAAAGTTAAAGAGAACCAGTGTGCATTTCCCAGTCAGTATTTTTGGTCTGTACCTTCTGTGAAGTGATTCCCAAGTAACAAATTGATGAAATCAAACCCAAGTTGTACGGTCAAGGAACGGGTCTGCAGAGTCGTGGTTAAAATCACTCAGCACAAGTGATTTCTGACTAGTCATTGCCACAAGCCAGCCTTCACCTCCTCATTCAGAGAGCAACACAAGGTCGTAAACATCACAAACTTGACAGCCAGAGAGGTTAAAGCAGGGGGAGCTGTAAAGGTTTCAACAGAAAAGCCCAGCTGGACAGTCACACTTCCCCAATTTAACAAGAAACTCTGGACGGGTTGTTTCTACTGTTCAAAGGAATATACACAAGAGTGTGTCTGCAGGGTTCTGGCCAGCTCCAGCAGAACTTGGTCCGAACTATTTTCCATAACCTGTGTAGTCCACTGTTTGAAAGGTTATAAATAAATTTGCAACTAACCAGTACAAAACATCTAACGGAAGCCAAAAGTTGAAGTCTGTGTGTTTCTCAGTGCCCCCTGCAGCGTTACGCAGCCGGCAGGAAGCGTTTCTAGGGAGGCACCAAAATGGGCCATGAGGAAAAAATGACAAGAGCTGACACGAAGATAGGCTTTTATAAATTAAATGATCTTTATTTGTAACTTGTCTTCAAAAGTCAAAAACATGACAAAGTAATTTCTCGGAAGCTTCTAACTGCTCCTTAAACATTTTATCAGAATTGCATGGAAGTGCACTTAGAATAGTAGCAGAAATCGAGATTCTGGTCAATGGGTACCACCAAACTGCGTTCTAGCCAGAACCCAGAAATCCCCATCCAACCACTAACACGACGTAATCTCTTTGCAGAACAAGCATTAAAAATAACCAACCCCAAACACAGCACTTTTCCCACAGTTCCCCCCTCCAAGACTTAAGGATGAGTCTGTAATAGCCCTAAAAAAGTTGGGGAAATCATACTGCAATGAACTTAAATATGTTTGAGGTCTGGCTGGACAGAAAGGTCAATCGAGAGGTGTTGGGTGGGGTGCATGTCATTGTTTTAAGGGTAAGGCTATGCTGCAGTCTGCAGAACGCTATGATAATAAGTTTACTGGTCAAATAAATTAATTAGTCCTCAACTCCGTGGTGGTGCAGGTCCACTGCTCCAATTAAACATGCTTAAATTAGGCTAGACATCTCAACACTACCGTGATTTACAAGTTCTGGTCAGGTGCCTTAGATCATTAGATCTCAGTATCTTCACTGTGCGGTTAATGAAAAATTTAACCTAAAAAGGAATCTCTGTAGTAAAAGCGTAGACTTCAATACAGAGTATCCATTTACCAGGTACTGGAATTGTCATCCTGCTTTCTGGGTTATATTTTATTTTTCCTTTGAGAGCTATAACTGCATACTATACTTATCATATTATATGGAAAACAATCTAAGTACAGCTTCACCTACTTTAGCAAATGGAGATGAAGAACAGGAATCCAAAATACCTGTTATAATCTGTAATGCAGAAAGGTAGTGCTGTGCAAGTGCAATGAATTACTGGTCAGTTTTGCTACCAGCTTGCTGTGAGAGATGGAAAAGATAGGAATATATATGAAAATTTTAGTTTAAATAGAAAGCAAAGGTATTGAAAAAAAAATTTTGAATTCCCTTATCAGCGTAAGGATTAAAATTACTAGAAAATCAGTTTCCAAACCACCAATTTAATCATAAAGCCAGAAAAAATGATTAATATTTGCTAAGACACTTAGAATGCATTGTTTTTTAAATAAGACCAACGTTAAAGTTTACTTTCCAGGCTAGGAATTATGGTCAAAGTATGGAAGAAAGTAATAATCATGCATAGAACTAAAATATTTTGAACTAGTTGCTTATACAGGTGCAAAGATTTGCTAAGAAAGTTTGTAGTTTGAAGACTTATACTGAAGAGGTTTTCCATATAGTCGAGAGGCTGCGTATAAGAATTTCAACACTGGGAAACATTATGAAATCACAGGCATCTATAGGTCACTTTAAATGAGAGCTGGTCTGACAATTACAGTTAGCACCTAGAGGTTTCACTAAAGGAAAACAGAGCTACAAATACACCTCTCATACAACCACTTAAGATACGTAAGTGGGACTGGGAAGAGATACTTATGCACTAGTTCAGGCCACTCCTTTTGGAATGTTTTTGTTTTCAGACAGTCCAATAAACACAACTGCAAAAGAAACCAAGAAATAGGCAGAGGTAAAGGAAAACAGATTTGCTTCCTCCACGATGACCTACAACTGTGAAGTAAGAAAGAAAATTAGGCTGACGGGGTTAAATGGCATAGACCACATTAACAAAAGACTAAGTGGTACAGAGATATCAAAACAGGATTTGAAACCGAGATAGGGATTAAGAAGTCTTCCGTATTTCTGGATGCCTGAGTTCATCTTGGGATGTACAGGGCCAAGTGTGAGGATGCTGGGCATTTCCCCCTCACGGAAGCTTGGGGTTTACAGTTAATCTTCTAGTTGGTTCATTTATCCCGCAAAGAACGCATCAAAACCTGTGCCATCATATCATCTTCATCAGCATCATAATCCTATGAACAGAGGGTAGAGAAATTCTTTTACTGCAACAGCCGTGCTGGTTAATACCACACTAAATAAGAATAAAAAGCTGTCTCTTCCTTTGACTCGCTAATAATCCAATTTCTCTTATACCATCTGCATGGATGAGATCTCACAGTAGTAGCTATATAAAAAAGGTGGATTTTAAGAGTCATCAGGCTGTATTCCAAGGGTGAGGAAACACATACCACAAACGTATCGTATGAAAAGCGATGTCGTCTTTGAAGGTGCTCCATGAAGTTAGCACTCCTGTAATTTGGATCTCCCCATGGCATTGAGGCACAAATTGGGCAAACCTTCAAGAAAAACCCAAAAAAAGCCAATTAAGCCCCAGCGGTTCAAGTGCTTTAACATTTACAGTAAGAAGGGTAGGACAGAGACAGCATGGAAGACTGCAGTTTGAGGTTTGTGATGATCACTATTCTATATGCAAAGTGGTATCAATTAGCGTGCTGGGACATTTAATACAAAAGCCTCAGATAACTCCAAATATTTTTAATTCATGTCTTAGACCTCTGAACTGGAATGGCTTACTCTTCCCTCTACATTCTGAAAATCGGAATTGACTACAGTTGTTTGCTTTAGAAGATTTCAGCTTTTATTTCTAACAGAAAAGATCCCCTGATCTCCTTTGCAAAGATCACTTCTCTCCAAGGGAAAAAATGAACTTTTTTTCTAAACAATTTGGAATTCAAAAAACTTTCCAGAAAAATGAAAGTTTCAAATTCACTTCCATGTTTCACAATTCCTTTTACATGAGAGGGAGCAGCAGCAGGTAAAGAACATTACAAAGATACACTATTTTTTGCAAGCATTTTTCCCAAAGGTTTATAGTATGTTCTTGCTGAAAGCAGCAGAGGGGAAAATTAAATGCCTGACATTTTTTTTTAAATTATATCTTATTAATTTGATGTTTGTTACTGTGCCTAATTAACTTTGAATGTCTGCCATTTTTCAAATATGAAAGGAGGATGTAACCCAGCTGCAACAGGAACAGAGACAAGTCACCTTCAGAGAATGTATTGAAAATCAACATAAAAATTATGTAAAAGCTAAATGCATGAACAGCATACCCACATTTGACTTTAACAGGAGTAATTATAAATATGTACTTAACTTCAAGAGCAAGTCTCTAATTCATTGTTTCAAAGGGATTTAAGACTAGACTTCATTGCAATTCTTGCACCAAGACTTTTTATTACCACTTGTTTTGCATCCATGCTGTGCAATGATTTGCAGTGTTCGACTAGTCCTTCTTGATCAAAGTTTCTCTCGTTGCAATATGGGCAAGGAAAGGTAAAGCGATTTGGGAAGTTCCTGGGTGGGAGGAGAAAAAGAGCTGATGTCATTGTAAGAAAGTTAAAAGCTTTAGGATTCAATACTCAAAAGTCATCTTACCAGCTTTTAAGAATACAAGTAACTTAAAGCAGTTGTCTTATCCTATGCAATTAAGGCAAGCTAATTTTAAGAATCAGCTTTTTAATTCCCAGCAACAGCTTAAGGAACTCTTAATATCACCCATATTTACACAAAATGAGAGCTCTTCTACAAATGTTATAAATGTAATTTATCATCTTGTTTTGCTATTTTTTTAAGCACAGGGTACCACCCAATACATTACAATGCGGATGAGCACAGTGCAATCGATTCTCACTTCCCTTCATTGTAAGTTACTACAGCAAGAGACAGAAAGATAAATTTTGTATTTAAAAAATAGCTACTTTTACTGAGTAACCTGATCTTTAAGATGTCTAGTGCTTGGACTATGTAGAAAGCAGAATAGCTTGCTTGTGCACAGTCATATTGTCATGGTTTAACCCCAAGTACCACAGCCCCAGTCTCCACCCCCCAGCAGGAGAGGGAGAAGAGGGAGAAAAAGGAAAAAAAAACCAAACTTGTGGGTTGAGATAAAGACAGTTTGACAGCATCAGAAGAGAAAATAATAATAATGATGCTGAAAGAATATAGGAAATGAGTGATGCAATGCAGTTGCTCACCACCTGATGGTTGACTGCTCAGCGACTGCAGATCCCCACCCCCTGGCCAATCCCCATTTCTATACCGAGCATGAGAATTATGGTATAGAATATTCCTTTGGCCATCTTGGGGCAGTTGTCCTGTCTATTATGCTCCCTCTCAGCTTCTGTGGGAAGCTGAGAAAGTCCTTGACTGCTTAGCAACAACTAAAACCATTAGTGTGTTATCAACATTCTCATCCTAAACTCAAAACACAGCTCTATACCAGCCGCTAGTAAGAAAATTAACTCTATCCCAGCAGAAACCAGGACAAGATGGAGGATTAAGGCTTAGATTTTAACAATGTGAAAGGATTAAAACCCAAACTGAGGAAAGAGGTAAAGTCTGCTTCTACTCCAAAATTCTACAGCGTGCTTGAAACCCTGTAATGCAGTTAAATTTTTTAAAGATAGAAAGATGTTCTCAGAAGAGGGAAAACTGAGATTTTATCACGATTAATCAGCAACAGCCCTAGTTTTGTGACAAAAAGAGAAGAGTTAGTTACCTGGAGTTGTGAAGTGGTTCTTTAGTTACAGCTTTCACACCTTCCATGATGTAGTTCTGGTACTTTGAACAGGAGGCTACATGGCTGCGCATCTTGGAGAGATACATCTGTGCAGGCAGCAATTGCACAGCAAGGTTAACTTAAACTATTTGCAGTTACTTGTACACTTTTAAGCAAAAATAGTAAACAGGTAAAACAAAGTAGCTTTCAGCAGACAGCGTTAAAGCAGGAAAACTCAAACAACTCAGCAGGCAAGGCAGAAAGATTTGAGATTAAAGATTGGTTAATGTGTAACTTTGCTGCCTGTTTTATTTTACAGATTTGATACTGTTCAGAACAGCTCACTTTTCTTAACCTATGCTAGAGTATATAAAAAAAGCCTGCTTTATATAAAGCCTGTTTACCTTGTCACTGAGGAGGAGAGACAGTGTATGGAAAATAATCTGGCTTTTAGCACATATCTTGGTGTAGGTCAATTGATAATTGTTCAATCCCACTAATCAACATTCAAATTTACAATATGGAAATTTGTAATTCAAGGGACTACAGTTTTCTATCAGCCAAAAGGAAGACCAAATGAAGATATTACCCAGAAGCCAGATATGAAAATAACTCAACTATTACCCTCACCTTAGCGTGTTTAATTATCCTTTTCTTGTTTTGTTGCCATCTGCTAAGATATTTTCTTATACATTCAATTAACCCTAAGAAGCCCAACTTTACAAGAAAGGGGATGACAGGAAGGATGCCACACAGGTATTCAACGTGTAGCACACCAGAAGGTAAGTCTGGGGAATATACCACTCATATAAATCAACTTTGACTCATAACTATTTCAAATGAAGCCAATAAATTTCTGCTTAAGAGCTAAAGAGACCACTAAAATAAATAATATATATTTATTCCATTACTCTATCTATAGCCCACATCCACTGTTTCATTACAACGTTCCTCCTTCTGAGACACTTCCACAGAAGCAACTTCAGAAGCAATATTTTACTGCAACTTTAAAATCAGTAGCTTTCCCTTGAAATTCACTTCCTGAAGGGGCAACAATGAAAATCTGGGGAAAAAAAGTCAGCATTTGGGCGCTGCCTATCAAAAATATCTTCAGTGCTTAACAGAACAAACATTTTAATGTGATTCTGCAGAAAGCTGAAGAGCAAGCACTTTATGCCCCTCTAAGCAGCATGGCCAGGCAGGCACACACCACACACGTCCATACTTTTTTATTGCAGCCGCTGCAAGCCGTTTCTGTGGTTTCAATTTGCTTTTCCAAGTCCAGAGCTCTGCTGCCGGGCGACAGGGTGCTGCGGCAGACGCCACAAACCGGCTTTTTGGGCTTCAGACACTCCTGCAGGCACGGCGTGCAAAAGCTGGGGCAGGAGAGAAAAACAGACAGTAGGTGGTGAGAACATCCCTCCTGGACACACAGAATCAACGTCCCAAGCCCTTCCGTGCCCTCTGCCCTCAGAGATAACGGAGCCTCGAGGAGTGGTAGGTAACGGAGCAGCAGCCTGTTGGCACTTGTGCAGGAAGGGAGAAGGATCCTACACCGTCAGCTTTTGGACACTGCTCGGTTTCTACATCTTTCAGGAGGGAAAGCAATCGAAAGCAAAAGTGTACCAGCTTTTTTCCCTGCTGTTTCGCTTCGCCCTTCCCCGCTAGAGAGGGGAAGTCACGGAGGAACTAGGAAGTCTCCCTAGGCCGCCGGAGAGGCCCATGGAGCCCCCCACCCTCAGTGGGGATTGTCCCCCGCTTGTCCCCACCGCCCGCCACAGGGACCCGTCCCCCAGCGGGGGGTTTGCCCATCCCGCTTCCTGAGGGAGCCAAAGGCCGAGCTGCGACTCCCTCCCAAGGGCCTCACAGCCGCCGGCCGGGGAAGGCGCCTGCGGCCCGGGCCCGAGCCCCCTCCAGCCCCTCTCTCTCTCCCACCGCCGCCGCCCCAGCCCCCCTACGCCGCCGGCAGCCGCTCACACGTGTCCGCAGGGGACGCGCACCGGGCTCTCGTACACCTCCAGGCACACGGGGCAGGTAAAGCGCGACAGCGGGTCGTAGCGCCGCTCGGGGGAGCGGGAGGAACCGCCAGCACCGGCCACCGCCATCTTGCCGCCGCCGCCAACCGGGGGCGTGCCCCGCGCGCAGGCGTGGCCCCGCCCCGCGCCGCCGAGCCCCTCCCACCCCGGGGGCGTGGCCATGCTGAATGGGCGTGGCCGTATGGAATGGGCGTGGTCGTAATGAGTGGGCGTGGCCAACGCGGGGGCGTGGCCCCAAGCGCGCCCCCGCCGTTGCCCACCCGAGGCAACGCAAAGGCCGTTTGCCGCGGACCGGCGATCTAACGGCCGGGCCCCTGCCCCGGTTACCGCGCAGCCGCGTCGCGCGGAAATTAAACGGGGAAGCGAAGCGCCGCTTCCCGCTGACGTGCCGGAGAAGGCCGCCCCGCCCCCTGGCGCCCCGCCCCGTTGACGTCACGCCGGCAGGAGGCGGTGCTCCGCCTCCTCCATCAGCTTCCGGGGCGCCGCTGTCAGCCGCCCCCTCCCGCCGGCAGCCCCCCGGCCGGTGCCGGGAGGCCGAGCCGTGAGGGCGGGCGCGCCCCGCCGGTGCTCCACTAGGCAGCCGTTGCAGGTGGGCGGGGGCGGCCTCCGCGGGGGGGGCGTCTCCGGAGCCCGTGAGGGGCTGTGGGGGGGCGGTGGAGCCGTCCGCATCCGGGTCACCGGGCGCTTCCGGCTGAGCGGCGGCGGGTCCTGGGCGGCGGGCGCGGCCCGGAGCGCAGCGGTGAGGGATGGGACGGGCCCGGCCCGTGTCGGGGGAGGGGGCTCTGCCGGCCTTCGCCGCGGCACTGCCAGTAGAGGGGGCGGCCGGTTTGCCGGGAGCGGTGGGCGCTCCGCCCCATTACCGGGAAGCCGCGGTGGGGCTGGCCTGGGGCTCGGCGGACGGTTTGAGGGGGGGATGAAGGAGGCTTTTCCCGCGGCTCCGCTCTCCCGTGTCTCCGTAACAGGTGTCCCGGGGAGGGCCGAGGGGCGGAGCGGCCTCCGGCGGGCGCGGGCCGGTGCGGGGTTTCCGCCTCCTCCCGCCGGCGGTTCCCGGGCGGTGCGGGGTGCTCTGCTGCCGTTAAACCGCCTTCACCTTCGCGTTCCGTGGGCTTTTCTGGTCCCCTGAGCGCGGGTCGGGGGCCGGGGGTACCCGCCCGGTGGCCGTTCCCTCCCCCGTCAGGGCTCCGCCGTCCCCCTGCCCCCCCAGGCCGAGCCTCGGCCCCTTCAGCTGGGACTTTGACCCCGGAGACGGATGGAGGAGCCTTATTGTCTCCCCAGCAGAAAGCAGGCTCAGGTCAGAGCCCGTTATTCAGGCACCTTTATGAAATCTCAAGGTTTTCAGTCAATAACTTGCAGCAAAAGGGTCTTGTTCCTTTATCTGCCCTGTCAGCTGGTGTGTTGCTTAAAACCGTGTGTGTCTGTGGGGGCTCACCTCCCAGGGTTGTTATGGAGCCGTGTAACCACGGCTGGTGGGCGCTGGGAGCCGGCTGGGGGGTGGGAGGGCTGCCCAGGAGGGGGCTGGTTTGGTGCTGGAGGCTGCGGGGGCTCCCCGGCCCCTTTGGGTGGCCGTGTTCTGCCTTTCAGAGGTGTGAGCCCTGGCTTGTGTGCAAACAGCAAGGCAAAATCAGAGCTGGCAGGGGTTTGGATGGCACAGACCGTAGGGTCTCAATGGAGGACTTTCGTTTGGGGACTTCCCTGGTCCTGATGCCTCATAGGTGTAACCAAGAGCTTCTGGTTAGTGGTTATTAACTGGGGATATGGAAGAACTACAACACTTAATCCAGCTCCTTGGCAGCAAAAGCATCATTCCTGATCCTGGGGGTGTTTTTCTGATGTGCCAGACAAAGATCTTTCTCTGAAATTCTCTCATGGAGCTCTTTTTTGCTAAAGAACAGACGTTCCCTTGTTGTTGTCCACAGACTTCATCTTGCACAACTTAAGGAGGAACGATCTGGGGAGAGAGAAGGATTTACTCCTGTCCCTTATGCTCAGATGTTAAATTAGAACTCCACATTTCCTGTGATTCACAGCTTGTCTCTTGACATCGGTGTGATTTCTGGTTGTGGAAAGACCGAGAGCAGTGTGCCTTTGAGCAGAAATTGAACTGCTAGTTAACTTTTCCCACATGGTGTTGTCATTAAGCGCAGCCTTTCATCAAGTAGTATTAACTGCTAGGCAGTTGATTTTTTTGTTTGTTTGTTTTCCTGGCCTCTTGGTTGTTGGTTTGTGGTTTGTTCCCCCCCCATGTATTTTATATTATGGCTCCTTTCATTCAGTTAATTTTGCTCTGAACAGTGATTTTCATTTTAACAGGCGTGTGTGGGGGCATCGATCAGTATTCTAGCAGCTGCAATTAATATTGGGTGGAAAATCTTTTCTAAAGTGCTGTTTCAGACTGACTATAACCGAAACAGTGCATTGATTTCTCCCGCCTCCCCTCCCTTTGGTTCACAGCTGGGAAGTCCAAAAGGGCTAGATCACATTTTCATTTAAAAAACAAAGCCTGTGGTCTGCTTTTTGATCACAAGTTCTTCAGGTGGTCAAGATGGAGTCTGTTGGCCTGTTAATTACCTAGGTTTTGGTAAGGTGGCATTAGGTAGCTTCCTTTGTCACCAGCTTTTCTGTGGAGTGTGCGTTCAGTGAAGTGAAAATATAGATTGGTATATACCTAAAACTATCCCTGCAAACAAAAATGTATGTGTTGTGAAAACAGAATGATTTTGCTCTGTTCTGACAAAGCAGCTAAAAATGGCAGGTGTAGCTTTTTACTGAGATGATTGCAATCTTCTTTGCAGCTGCCAGAATTCAGCTGAAACTTTGGCTGTAGTTTGCAGCAACCAGGGGAGCGTGCTCTCTGTAGCTGGGCTGCAGAGCTCCCCCAGCCCAGGTGGGATATGAGTGGCAGTCAAAAGCCTAGAAAATGTTAGAAATGGAAAGGCACCGTTAATTAATCTGCTCAGTCTAGGCAATCCTGTGCCATGAGAAGAAGAAAAAAGTAGACGCTTTCCCAAGTTGAGCAAAATGAAACTTCTTTCTGGGATTTTTTTTTAATCTTCATGTCACCATGCAGGGCCAAAAAAAACCCAAATCCAAACCAGAAAGCAGTGATTGATTAAAGTAATGTTTGTGTAAGTACTTTGAACTGAAAGGGCAAAATAAAATGCAGAGAAGACACCTTAAAAACTCATGATTCTCCTTCCATATTTCTTTTTTTTTTTTTTTGCTGTGGATTACTTTTGCCTTGGTTCCCTAAGCCAAGGAGCCCTCAGCCTGGGCTTCAGCCTCCACCAGCTTTACTCTATCAAGCTCTCACTGCCTCACTAGATGTAGGTTTGTTGTGCTGTTTTAGGCAGAGAAGTGGAAGAGGAGTAGAGAATGACAGCGAAAAGCAGGACAACAGCATTTCTGTAGACTCTTGTGCTTTTTCAGAAACCTAAAGAGGCTGTTCTGAGAGCTGCTGCTCTGTGAACCATTTTATAGAATCCTGTGAAGCAGAAAGATGCTGTGGACATCTGGGATTTATGCAACTGTCATGACTTGTCTTTGTTTTCAATTTTTATTCCAGAAGAGTTGCCATTGCTGAAGATTCTTAATGCCAGATAATCAACCTGCTGCCGAATAACCATGAAAGAGACGAGGTAGCTGCCCAAGTGTGAGATAAAAACTGATTTCAATGGATACAAAATATAAAGACGATTTATTTAGGAAGTATGTACAGTTCCATGAATGCAAACTGAATGCCTCTGACAACAAGCAGCGTCCTATTAATGATGAGTATTTGCGAGTGGCAGCGGCAGCCTTACTTTGCCTTCCCAAAATTGATCCCTTTTATAGATTCCGGTTGATAAAATTTTACGAGATGGCTGAAAACTCACTGAGATCTGTGAAATCCTCAAGTTTACATTCTCTCTGTAATGCATTCAGCATGCTCGAGACAGTTGGAATTAATCTCTTTCTTTTCCCCTGGAAAAAGGAGTTCAAAAATATTAAGGTAAGACATTTTATGTGTGGCCATAGTGTGAACATGATTTGTTTTTCTTTCTTTTAATGCATTTCATGCATTTCCTTTAAAGACTGTTTTTTGGTCCTTTTTTTTCCCCCCACCTATTAGCATGATGTGTATATTTGTCTATATGCAGTTGGTAAACAGAAGCTGTAGGAAAGTTTATATGTAAAATTAACAAAGTTTGTGCTGGTGAGAGTATCCCAAGAGCAGAAAAACAAGTACTAGATCTACATTTATATTGTAACTGTAAAATAGAGGAACAGCTCATTTAAAGTTTTTGTTCAGCCTACCCTGCTACAGTGTCTTAATTTCTACTTGGAGATATTTTCACTAAGGTGAGCGGTCAAGTTGTCCTTAAGCTTACTCCAAGTTTGATTTTTGTCTTGCAACAGCTATTAATGGAGCACAGATGCTATTATCCAATGCTTGATATCAAGTGGATGCTTTGCTGAGGTTCCCATAAGTTATATGATAATGGTAAAGGAACTTCAGTGAAAGAATTGTTTCCAGAATATCTTTTATCGCTTGTCAGTTCTTGATTCATGAAGTTTTGATTTTACTGTACTTTCAAATTATGTACCTATGCCAGGATCTCAGAGGAGAAAGTAGAACTTGTCTATTGCTCAGCTTGGCCGCTGAAGTCAGATAGTGAGTTCTCTGCTGTTGATGTTTCTATTTTATCTTTTACCTGTTCTTATATGCTTATTCAAAACTGCTGCAGCGTTTCAGTGATGAATACTCTAGGTGACTTACAAGAACAGTTTTGAGACTTGAAAGTTGGATAAAAACACTGCTGTTATAGGTGTCTAAAGTCATTTGCAGGTTGTGTGTACTAGTGATGGGTACTGTTGTTTGTTTTTCTTAAAAAGACGCTATTTAGCAGAGAATTTGAATGCTACTAGAACATTTGGGAGTTCTCTCTTTCTCCAAGAGGAAACTACCTTTCTTCAAGATCTTTCCATAAGTCTTCTTCATTGTTATCCTTAAGTTCTGGCCTTTGAAATGTTGGCTGATCCATCGAGGCTATCTGTTGTTGCACAGCTGGTACTGGCTTTGGTTGTGCACTGTGGGTCCAGTACCTGTTGAGTACAAAGATGTGGTGGGCAGGCTGCTCGTGCCTTCAATCCCAAACAGTTTGAACTGGTTTAAGAACATTCCTCGGGTATGCCAGATGCTGAGGATGTTTCACCTGGCACAAACTCTTATCTTTGATTTTGGGGCTTTTTTATTGGGAGTTTTTGCCCTGATATACAATTAAATAAAAGAGATATTTGAAATTGCATGGTAGTAGTACGCAGAGAAGTGCACACCTCAAGTATATTTAAAGCTGAGTTGAAGAGGACTTTGGTACTCCTGCAGTAATTCCTGTTATCTTTAGCTAACTCCTGTCCAGGGGCAATACATGAATTCTCTGCCTTTTTACCTTTCATGGTAGACTTGCTTGTAAATGCAAACGTGTCTGGTACGCATAAAATTTAATGTCAGTGTATAGCGTGTAAATTTAAATCAACAGGGAGGACATTATGGTAATCAGGATTTTAATTTGAATGAAAGCTCTCCTACTTTGAATTTGCCTCATGCGGAATTTCCATCTGCTGAACAGGAGGGATGCAGAAATGGAGTTCATCTTGCCACGGGAGTTGCATGTGTTCACTGTCGTATTTATTCTATTTAATTATATAGTACCTGTCGCTGAATTATCTGAACATCTAGTCCACCGCTGAATTTGTAACCTAGTTTTCCTTTTATTCCCCCCCACCCCCATCCTCCTCAGACCTACACCGGACCCTTTGTTTACTATGTAAAGTCTGCTCTATCTGAAGATGATGTAAGACAGATTTTGAACTACATGGGCTATGTCCAAGAACTGGGAACAATGTATAAGCTTAAAGAGCAGGTTGATGCCATCCAAGTGAAAATGGTTTCATTTGAACTCTTTTTGGCCAAAGTGGAATGTGAGCAGCTTCTTGAAATTCACTTGCAAGTGAAAGATAAAGGTTATTCAGAGATTGATGTCATAAACGAGCGAAAAAATAGCACTGAAGATGTGAGAGGCTGCTCAGAAGCCATGAAGCGGCGCGCAGAGTGCAAAGAAAACTTAAACACTTCCATGGCACGAATGGTACTCCAGAAATCAGCGAGCGAGAGGGCATCTAAAGATTATTTCAAGCCAAAGGTGAGCAAGCCTTCTAAATCAGTGGACACATACGATAATTACTGGGAAAGTAAGAAACCACCTTTGATGAGCTCTCTGAGTCTCAGGAAAGAACCAATTTTGGTTGATGCGGAAGATGACATTAAAGATGAAATTATCCGTCCGTCACCCTCTCTTCTGACAATGTCAAGCTCCCCGCATGGGTGTTCAGATGAATTCTTGCCAACTTCATCTCATCACAACGGCATGCTAAGAACAAATGTCCCTTACAGCTCCTATTTTTCTGCTCAAGAGGACTTAGATTTATATACTGATCCCGATTCTAGAAGTGTGTTAAATTTTAAAAGACAAGATGCTATTAAGCCTGATGTGTGGCTGTTAAAAAATGATGCCAACCCTGTTTACCACAAACGCACCCACCTAGCCAAAGAGACAGCTTCCCTCAAGTGCCAAAACTGTGGTGTACCTTGTGGCACTTCTGTTTGCCAAAAGTGTGACAATCTGTTCAACTCTAGGCAGGAATATCCGGCCGTGAAACAGAGCACCTATTCAATCAAACCACTTCCAAACGATGGCTTGTCTCCTGCGTCTGCTTTGAGGGAGAAATCTCAGTACACGTCACAGACTCAGAGTCAAGAGAGAGCTGCTCAATTCAGTTCAAAATCCAAACCTTCAGGCACCTCACGCTGCGGCTTTTGTAACCGATCTGGAGCTGCAAACACTTGCACGTTTTGCTCAAAAGTCTCGTGTGACACTTGCCTCAGTGCTTACTATTACGATCCCTGCTGTAGGAAAAGTGAGCTCCACAGATTCATGCCTAACAATCAGTTAAACTATAAATCGTCCCAGCTGTCCCATGTGGTTTATAGATAGACTTGATCAGTCTGTCTTGGAGGGGAAGGAAAAGGGGAGGGGAAAGGGCTATCCTAACTAACGTTCTGACTCCACTGATAAGGAAATACACTGACCTCTTACCAAAACGACATGTCCAAATATTTGGAACCATGGTTCAGTGATCAGGTGCCAGTTCTTGATTTTTATTTTTATTTTTTTTTGTGGCTTCACAGATGCTGCAGATACATTAGATTTCATGCTGCTATAATTTAGGTAATCCTAAATGATCATTACTTTTCAATTTAAATGGGGGAGAAGAGCACATTTTTCTTTAAAACTTGGCAGCTGTTGTATTTTAGAGAAGTGACGTCACACCTTTCTGTTACGTTGCAGTCATCTCCTTGCCCAAATAAAACCATGCAAGGCTTGAAAATGAAGTCTAAAGATTAAGATTCATATTTTCTATGAGTGATGAAACTACTGCCGGTTTTTGATAAAGTATGACTTCAAAATGTGCAAGAAATATGTGAATGGCTTGTTTTGCCAACAAGGACTATTTTTTGAAGTGTGTCTGCATTTCCTGATCTCCAAAATGCAAACACCACAGCATCTCTTCCTTTCGTCTTTATGTTTCTTCCTTCTCCCCTTATCTCCCGGTTGTTTATCTCAAGCTTATATAATCTGAATCTGGACAATACGTGCTTTATTTTCTGGTGTTGCCAATATCATCCTACTGGTTTTTACTGTATGGTATTTTTAAAAGGTGAACCCATATTCACGTCACTTAAATTATACCTAGAGTGTCGTCCTTCCAGATGAGTACTGATTTTTCTTTTCTTTCTGTTGCACATGTATTAAGTACTGTCCTTTGTACTGTAAATAGGTAATTTGGAAACAGTTTATTTTTAATAAATATTTAATATGTTGAGTTCTTAAAAGTGGTAGAATCATTATAACTATGAGGTCTCTCTGGGTTATGTATTCAGGTGACTTTTTGTTTTTCCCTGTACTGTATTTCATAGCTTACTAGAGTTGCTGTGGCAGACTGATGTTCTTGGCTCTGATCAATTTTTGTTTTTTTAATCTGACTTTTTTTTTTTTTTTCCCCCTCTGATAAGGCTACCACTAGTCTAAGTGGAGTCTTGTCTAGGAATTGCAGGATTTTGGTTCTCAGTGCCCACTTTTCCTTTGTGGTTATGGAAATTGTAAGTATAAATGTTCTGCTTGCTTCTAAATTCACTGCGAAGTCTGTAGTGTAGTCCAGCAAGTAAAGCACTGGCCTGGTTAAAAATCAGAGCTCATTTGTGACTCCTGTTAAAGTAAACCCATCAGTTATGGATGTGAATCAGATAATAATATTTATCTGTATTACTGTAGCACATAGGAACCCTAGCTGAGAACCAGGACTCCGTTGTGCTAGGTTCTGTACAGTTTGACCTCCAAACAACACCTGATTATGAATAGGCTTTAGTTTTTTATTAAAAGGAAACCCACAAGAATCCTTCTAACTTCCTTATTCCAACTAGCTAGTTAGAACAAAGTATCAGGCAACCTAATCTGATGTGCAGAATTAAATGTGTTTAAAATATCTGTAAAGAACTCTAGCTGAGATGTAAACTATGTAGTCCACTTTGCACTAAAATTATTCACTTAGGGTTTTTTTTTAAACACTGTTAGAGTCTAGGCTTCTAAACTTAAATGTCCATTGATCCCTGTGTGACAGAAACATGCATGAATGACCGTTTGTCTTCTTTTTTTTTTTTTGGGTGGGGGGAGGGCTTGCGGTAGGTAGAGGGGGAAACTATATAGGCTAATGTTGTAAAATAGCTAAAATAATTTTAGCCATAAATGGGTGTCAGAAGTATTATGGAAATAAGGTGAAACCCGAGTCTTACAGAGGGCTGAGAACAATAAGTTACTGTACAGTTTGCACTAAGAAACAAAGTGGATGGTGTGTGTTTAGCAATCAGGGAAATTTCTGAATCAAGAGACTGCAGCTGAACATGATGTTTTGGCAAGTATTGCCTTGCTGACCCTGAAGGTTGGGGTGAATATTGTTTAGGTGAATGATTTTAAGGTTTTCAAAATCTTGTATGGTTTTTTATAAATATATATATATATAAATACAACACAAATGTAGATACGTTATGTATATAGTGAAGAATTTAAAAACAATTTTACTATTAAAATACAGTCTAAGGGTGGTTTTCATTTCGGTGGTTATTTTGGTTTTGTTCATCTTCTGAAGTGTCATGCCTGTTTGGCTGCTATACAGTGTATCTTCTAGTTCACTAGTTCAATTTCCATATGGCTACTCACACTACAGTGAATAACTAAAACTGTGATGCCACGTAATTTTTACGGTGAACATAGCAGGGACTATACTTGCTTTGAAAAAGAAAAGTCCTGTGTATATATGTCATGGAATACTGTAGTACAAAACTGTGTTGAATTGAAGTGATACCATGCTCTATTTTTGTGTATCTTACTGTATGAGGTTGCTGTGATTGATACAGTAAAATATATGCTAATTTAAAATGCAGCTGTTTTGCATCTGATTTGTTTAAATTAATTTATGTTTTGAAGGAGTTTAAAAATAAAGAGGCCTTTAAGAAAAGGCTTAACTCTTTTCTTAAAGTTGAGTGCATGTAGCTGTCTGTTCCATAACTGCGTTTTGCATGCGGAAATGAGTTGGTACACAAAGGGAATCTTGGGGGCAAAATGGGCAAAAGCGTGTGTATCGTTGAGCCTCAGCTTTATGAAACTGGTTTTACTGCCTGCAGAATGCAGAGCTTTTTTAAAACCGTTTATTTTCAAGTCTTAGCAGCATGACTCAGTTTGTTCCATAAGAGCATGTAAGCCAAGATGTCAGCAGTCTGCAGCAGACAGACAGACAGACTAACGTGGGGCAGAGCGCGGGCTTCACGCGCCACGTGAAGCTGAACGACATTGATTTCCAGCCTTGACTCTCCATGTCAGATGCACCTCTTCTGACTAGCTTCCCGAGGCTAGCTGCATCTCACAGAAGATGTGTGACACCACTGATGTCCTTCTTGGCACTTGAGTTAAGCCTTCTGGCTCCTTTTTCATCCTGCTAGCTCTGGAGCAGGATAATTCCTCAAGTTCCAAACTAGATTATTTTTTGTTTGTTTGTTCTTTGTGTTAAAGCATGTCAGGTGAATGCTTCAACCATCAAAGTGCCATTTCTACAAGTCTCCTCCAATCTTACCATCTGTTGAGGTTACTGGAAGTATATGGGCTGATTACAAAAATCAGGGTCAAGGGAACGAAAATATTCTTGCAGGAAATCTTATCTTAAACCGCTGTGCTGCTTGTGCTGATGTATTTCTGGTGCATATAAACCAAGACTTTATGCTCTCTTACTGTCTGGCATTTCTGATTACAGACTTAGATGTGTGTCTGCTGTGTCTTTTGCTCTCGACAGAATTTTAAAGGATCAATACATTGTCGAGTAGTTTAGATTTCATGGTTTGAACCGACAGCTCCTTACATTTATTTTTTCTGGAAGACAACTGTGGATTACAAGAGTTTAGTACATGTTACTAATTATCCTTCTGAATCTTTTTAGCAGAAAAAATTCACTTTTCCAGTATTTGTTTAGGAACAGGAGCTAATCTGAGCATGGTGATAATTGATATGTTGCCAGAGTGACGGAGAGAAAAGCAGGCAGTGACTGCACGTTAAGGTAACATGTTGATGTACCTGTTTTGACTCTTAATTTAGTTACTTCTCTGAAATCAGTGGGAGTTAATTAGACCTTTTAGCATGGCCGTTACTGTGATATCTAAGCACAAACAGAGTTGGGCTACAAATGTTCTTGTCTGTTATCTGTGAAGGATGTTCCATGCTTCCTTCTGAAAATCACAGGATGCGGCTGTGTTTGTCTAAAGATTTTAAGTGTGTAAATGTCTTAGAGCTCGTGTATAAAATTAAGTAAAATTGGACGTTGTTGTTACTTTTAATTACTTTTTTCTGCAGTTGATCATATTCCCCTAGAAAATATTTTCTTTAACTTGTCTTGCCAGTCTGAAAATGTAGGGGCAGGGAATTGGTAATTAAGTAGCTTTCTGGTTTTGTACTCCTACACCCCTGCTGTGAAAAACAAGCTCCAAGGGCAACCTTTCGCATGGAGCCACCCTAGGAAAAGGAACAGAAGTGCATCAGATCTTCTTACCCAGTGCCTAGAGGAAGGCAAAAGGTTAAAATCCTGCAGACATGCACATAATTGAAGCTCTTCCATCTGAGGAGAGGTGTAGGAGAGCCAGAGAGCAGCTGCTTTGTTTGACAGGCTTGCTGTGCAGATTTCAATGTGCTAATGTGTGGAAAGCAAGGCTGTTCCTTACAGCATTGAAAGCTCGCTGCAATGAAAATATCTTAGCATATTTTATGGTGTGGAGCCGGTCCTCGGTTCAGATGGGAATCCAGAGCCCTGTGACAAGGTAGCCCGGGTGGCACTGGAGGTGGATGGTGTGCTGGTGGGCAGCTACCTGCAGCCAGGCTCTGCCAGAGCCAGGGAAGGTCATTGCAGTGCCAGGCTGTCCATGGAGAGCTGTGGGGGTAACTGACCTGAACCCCGGAATTTATGGCACGAAGCAGTGCTCAAAGGGGAGTAATCCTTGTAACTCCTTTTCCCACCTCCTGCACTGCTTTTGCTGCTTTCAGTGTGAGACAGGCTATGGGGGCTCTGCCATTGCTTTGAGTTAATGCTTTTTTTGGGAACAGCTGCTTGGTTGCCCTGACCTCTGCAAAAGAAAGGTTCTCATCTGCTTAGGAGCTCCTGCAAGCAGGGGAGATGCTGCCTTCCTTGGGGACAGTGGGATGCTGTTGGTTTCTGCCATTTTGCAAGGCAGAGTTGCTCCAAGCTTTTTCAAATGCAGGCAAAATGCTTCCCCCATCTGTGTTGTGCTGCCACAGATACCTTCCCGGGGAGCTGGGTTCCCTGTTTCCTCAGCCTGAGAAGCAGCAGGGTCAGAGGCTGTGGCTGCTGCTCCACCACTACAGTCACCTGCCCCTCATTCTCTCTCAGCTGGAGCAGGGTCTGGCTTTCCCCTGCGGCTACGGAAATCTTCCTGACACCCAGCAGCTTCCTCCATTGCCTGTGCTTAAAGCCAGGCATGGACTGGCACTGAACTTGGAAAGGCTTTGTGCAGAAAGGAGGTGGGCAGGTGGAAATGTTCCAGATAAAAATGAAACAACCTGCTCTGATTTTTTTTATTTTTTAATTTTTTTTTTCTTTAGCGTCAAGATGAAATTTCTCTTCCAGGATTCAGAATCTGGGAGGCACTGAAGTCATATTGCAGGGGAACTTCAGATGAGGTTAGAGATTGGTTTAGTTACTGCTATTTCTTATTTGTGGGATCCTTTCATAGCGCTGCAGATCCTGAGTGTAAGTTGTGGTGGTCCTGGTGCTTCTGTTCAGGCTGGGCTCTATCAGAGCAGTTCCTGCTTTGAGACGAGGATGTGAAATACCTTGTGGCGTGGGTAATGCCACTCATTTGTTTTTCCTGTCTCATACCAGGCTTTTGGCTAATTCTGCATTGTGCACTTCACTGGGTTGAAGACAATGTCAAAGCCCCAAGTAGCTTTAGGTAGCACAGGATCAGACCTGCAGCGTGTGGCTGACAACTTGCGTGTGGCAGCTTCTTCTGCCGTTGTGGGTGTGGGGCTGTCATGCTTCCTGCTTTAGAAATCATTCTCATGATAGTCATACTGTTCTGAGATTTTTTTTTTTCATCGTCAACCTGCTTTAAAAAAAGAAAAAGAAAAACCAACCCACAACTGCTCATCAGCTCCTTAGTGAAAAATACTCTTTCCCACAGAGTAAGTAAAACCTGTTTTGTAGCTTTGTGTGCAACGGGCTTTAATTTAACTGCTTCACCTGAAATTTTCCCAGAGCTGCTTTCTGAAGCATGGTCAGTATTGCTCGACTGTCTCCACCGAAGCAACGGTCTTTGTGTGTCTCTCCATCATTGCACATCTGTAAACTCTGCTGTGGACTTTACCTTCCAGTTAGGTGGGACTGAGCCGCTGTAGTGATGCGGTTGTGGATCCTTGCCAATGGCATGTGTAAACCCCAAAAACCCTAATAAATGAACTGTTAATCAAAATAGATGCCACCAACCAGCAAGTCTGAAAAGGAGCAGCCTGTTCTCATATCTTAGTGCACTTGTGCTAACTAGCATAT